AGGAGGAGGAGGAGGAGGAAAAGGAGGAGGAGGAGGAGGAAGGAGGAGAAGAAAAAAGAAGAAGGAGGAGGAGGAGGAGGAGAGAAGAAGACGAGGAAGACAGCCCAGTTTTGAGATTTGAGAACAACACGATGGGGTGAACTCCTATCCTTGCCCCAGTTCCTGCAATCTAGCAATTCAAAAGCATGCAAATGCGAGTAGATAAATAGGTATCACTTTGGTGGCTCCATGATATCATGCTGGCCACATGACGACAGAAATCTCTTTGGACAATGCTGGCTCAGTGGGCTTGAAATGGAGATGAGCACCACCCCTATAGATGGCAACAAGTAGCAGAGTAAAATCTGCAGGACTCCTACTCATCTCATCAATGTTAACATCTGGCCGATGCAAACTGTGGCTTCTATGGTAGCACCCCGAAAGAGGTGTTACCAGCCACAATTACCTTTTTAGGCAAGCACGCTAGCAAAACTCTTTTACATGTGTTTCTGTGTGTGTTTCTGCATGCTTACTGTTATTTTCCTTCTTCTTTGGAATAGGAATAGAATTAATAGAAATGGAAATAGAAATAATGGAAATGGAAATGGAAATGGAAATGAGACTAGACTAGACTAGACTAGATGAGAAGAGAACAGAACAGAACAGAACAGCATAGAACAGAACAGCTTTATTGGCCAAATGTGATTCAACACACAAAGAATTTGTCTCCAGTGCATAAGCCTTCAGTGAGCTGTGTGAGGGTACCTACAAACCAGAACAATCTTGTATGATAGTGTTACTATGGACCAAGACAGTTTCTTAGTTCAGCATTACTCCACTGAGTTAGGAGGCTTAGGTGAGCACTGGTCTCTAGCCCTTGACCGAATAGTCCATGGAATTTGACAAGTAGGCTGCAGGTGAGGTTGCTCGTATATGGAATTGAAAAAGCGCCTTAGAGTGAAGAGACAGGATTGAAACAGCATGACAATTGATCAGAGAATGGGTGGAAAACCCATTTAAAGATCAAGGTTTTAAATGATACATATCTTGGAAGGAGAAACTGACAGTGCTGACTTGAAAAAAAAAAGGAGTTGTAAAATGGCTTTCTAGTTCTAATGAATATAATAATAAAGTAAAGAATAGTTGGGAAATGGCAATAGTACTTAGACTTCCTCTTCATAGTTCTTTCCAGCCCTCTGTAAGCAGTTTACATAGTCAGCCCCTTGTCCTCCCAACAATCTGGGTCCTCATTTTACTCACCTCAGAAGGATGGAAGGCCGAGTCATCCTTGAGATTTGAACTGCTGAACTGCAGGCAGCTAGTAGTCAGAAGAAGTAGCCTGCACTACTGCACTCTAACCACTCCACCACCATGGCTCATAATAATATTGTCAGGCTTCCAAATAGCATATAAAATTAAATCAGAGACCAAGGCAAGGTATTGCTCAAAGTTCCAATTTATTAAGATAGCCATGTTGGCACATCTGGGAAAACCCGAATCTGAAGGCTTCCTGGTTTGCCCACCCAGCTGAAAGTTCAATATCTTGCCCCAACACCCACAAGCCCATCCCATGGTCCAATCATCCACTGCCATGTTGGCAGCTTCCACCCATCCAGTTCTGGTCAGGTGCAGAGGTGCAGAGACAAAGGATGACCTTGGCTTTCTAGAAAGAATGTCGTTATGGCTACATATCATCAAACTCCATACAATTCCCCCGTCTCATTTTCCCACAATAGGAAACGCATAGTAGAATAACAGAAAGTGTGGCAGGCCTGAGATCCACAAGCAAATATAGCTGCAGGCCTGACAGATACTGAGCTGATTTTCCCTGAAATGGAAAACCTCTTTAGGGTCTCAATTATCTGATTTGCTTTCTGGTATGGCTCTGACAAAATGTTGGCCAACCTTTCATTTTAAGATGTCTATGCTTTGTTCAAAGCAGAACACATTTGGGTTCAGGGGAAAATAATCATCAAAAGCTGCAAGAAAATACACGTTTTACTCATTCGGAGTCACAGAATAACAGAATTGGGAGGGATCACTTTTTGATGTCATCCAAGTTGACCTAGAACATGGCTGTCAAACTCGATCGCGTCACATGACATCACGTGACGTATCATAATGTTTTTGTTTTTGTTTTTCTTTCGCAGAGCTGGGGAGTGTCCGGCCCATGGCTGCCAGTTTGACACTTCTGAACTAGAATATGGAAATCGGCCACAAATGGGGACTTAACAACAGAATAACAAAATAACAGAATTGGAAGGGCCCTCAGAGGTCTTCTAGTCCAACCCCCTGCTTAGGCAGGAAACCCTATACCATTTCAAACAAATGGCTGTTCAGTCTCTTCTTTAAAACCTCCAGTGATGGAGCACCCTCAACTTCTGAAGGCAAGCCATTCCACTGATTAATCGTTGTAACTGTTAGGAAATTTGNTGTTAAAAAAAATGAGACATTATTTGCAGAGAAGCCTAGATTCGTATATTAAATAAAGATTTTAAAAAATGGGAAATTCACTGATTTTTTACAGCAAGGTGCTTTAATTAATGAAGTTTTAGATCTTGGGTTTGACCACACAGGAGGGAAACAGCAGAAAATTACATCCGCAGCAGAATCCATCTTAGGGCTCCATTTATTCACAGCATGAAATCAGAGCTAACAAAATCTAATATAACATAAAAAGGGAAAGAAAACATCAATAACCCAATGCAAAGACTGCACGTAATGTATTATTTATGGGGTTTAACTACTTGTTACATAAAAAGGTAACGAAAGAAAAATAATAATGAAGTGTTGTCTGTTGCAGCAAATATATCTGAACTAGCAAGAAGAATATGATGTTAGGCCAGTATTGATTAAAATCATCCTGACAAGAATTCCATATTGTTATGGAATTCCATAAGAATTTGGTTTTTTTTGTTCAGGATGCAGCAATTGTCAAACCACTGTGGACTTCTGCCTCTTCCCTACCTCACGTCCCTAATTCTCTCGCCTAGTGTTTAATAGTTTCTACAGAGATGCTGTAGAATGTATTAAGAACTGCTTATTTACGACCAACTAATAATGCACTAATACACTTCTGAGTGAAATATCGTCTTAATTAACGGCTCATATCGCTGAGGCAGGTAAACTATGCAAAGTTAAGAATATGCTTAATATTAGCAGTGAGGAACGAGGATGGCTACACCAGCAGAGGCGTCAACAGTTTTTTTGTGAGCAGGCATTGATTCTTTGGAAGAGCATTGCTTGGGTTTTAGCATGGCAACCAGACTGCCAGGCAGCATCTAATGAGACTGAAGTATAGCTGAGTTCGACACTAAAAACGGAAGAGAAGCGGAGGTGGTGGTGGAGACAGAAGGAGGAGGAGGAGGAGGAGGAGGAGGAGAAGGAGGAGGAGGAGAAGAAGAAGAAGGAGAAGAAGAAGAAGGAGAAGAAGAAGAAGAAGAAGAAGAAGAAGAAGAAGAAGAAGAAGAAGAAGAAGAAGAAGAAGAAGAATGGTGTCGAATAAAACAATCTGCAAATAANAAGAAGAAGAAGAAGAAGAAGAAGAAGAAGAAGAAGAAGAAGAAGAAGAAGAGGAGGAGCTAGAAGGGACCTTGGAGGTCTTCTAGTCCAGCTTCCTGCTCAAGCAGGAGAACCTATACTATTTCAGATAAGTGACTGTCTAATTTCTTCTTTAAAATCTCCAGTGATGAAGCACCCACAATTTCTGAAGGCAAGCTCTTCCATTGGTTAATTGTCCTCACTGTTAGGAAGTTGCTCCTTATGTTAGCAGTTTTCCAATATTTGAAGGGCTGCCACAAAGAAGAGGGGGATCAACCTCTTCTCCAAAGCCCCAGAAGGCAGGACAAGAAGCAATGGATGGAAACTAATCAAGGAGAGAAACAACCTAGAACTAAGGAGAAATTTCCTGACAGTGAGAACAATTAATCGGTGGAACAACTTGCCTCCAGAAGTTGTGAATGCTCCAACACTGGAAGTTTTTAAGAGACTGGACAACCATTTGTCTGGAATATTACAGATTTTCCTGCCTGAGCAGTGGGTTGGACTAGAAGACCTCCAAGGTCCCTTCCATCTCTGTTTTCCATTATTCTGTGGTGGGGGAAACCAGGAGGAAGGAAGATGTGTTGGATATGTTTGCCGTCTTTGTAAAAACAACAAAAGTGAGATACAAATAAACAAACACTTTTTTTTAAAGCAAAAAAGAAAGAGCCAAGTTTCAGTTCACAGGTTTAACTGAAACGTCCGGGATTGAGTTGCAACCTGAATAATTTTATTTTTTTTAAAAAATTAAACATCAGTCAGTTTTACCTCCGGGGGCTTTACAAGACGTGATGCCCCATGTAATGGTCTTGACCCCACAGACTAAAGTCTTCACCAAGCTCCGGCAATCGGTGACTTGAAAAGTCTGCTTGTCCTCCTTCTCCTTCTCCCCTTGCTTCTCAAAGACCGGTCCTGAAGCTGGGGCTACCGGGGTGGTGGGCGCAGGGGAGGGCACCGTGACCGGAAGTGCGTTTCCTCCTGCCGGTGCGCCCGTTAAAGCGGCTTCTCCTGCCCCCAGCTCTGACTGGGGCTTGCACTTTTTAAAGATAATGGAAAGCTGATAGCGGGCAATGGTGTGGAATTTCAAGACGAATACCTAAGGAATGAAGAGGAGGAGAGAAAGGGAGATCAGGAATAAAACTGGCATTAAAGTACCGTAGGGGGTGGAGGAAGGAAGCAGCTGGAATTCCTTTTGCTTTGAAGTCTTTTAAATGCCCCCTTCATTGTCAGGCGCCAAAGAAGACATATGTTGTGGCCGGCCAGTGGCCAGCAGAGTTGGACAGTGAGGAGGTTGTGGGGGAACACAGGCCAGTCCTGGAGGCTGGGGAAGGCTCGGATGAAGGCTCTGCGTCGGAGGCAGAAATGCGGCCGAGGCCATCTGCTAGTGATCAGGTGCCTATGGGGCTAGACCGCAGTGAGGCAGAGGAACAGCTGGAGCCTGTTCCCAGTGTACGCATGCACAGAGCTGCCAGAAGGACAGCTAAGAATTCACGGTTGACTTGGGAGTAAAGTCACAGGTCGAAGGTGATTGAAACATCCCATCGGAAATAAAAGAGGCGTGAAGGGGGAGTGGGCTTTTGCAGGAAACAACTTGTTCGCTCATTTCAGGAGTGTGAAGAGCTGTCCGTGAATCTCAGAGACTCTGAGCCAAGTCTTTCCTTGCACACCAACACATTTGGGAAATATTTACATGGCAGCTTTCCCAGATAGATAAGGTCTGTGGTCATAAATACTCCTTTGAAAGACTGTTTGCCAGGCTTTTGCTGAATGTGAACGAGAGGAATTCACATTCGTTTAATAAAAGGGGGTTTGCCGGGACCAAGACTCTGCCTCGTGCTTTTTGGGGGAAGCCTAGCTCAGAACATGTTACGATTCCTTCAAGCCGATTGGTTTATTGTTTCTCACCTATAGACAGAAATCTTGCCGAACTAAAGCATGCTACCGTCTCCATAAAGCTGGATTGCCCAACCGTGGCAACTTTTAAGATCTGCGGACTTCATCTCCCAGCCAGCCATGTTGAAGTTGAAGTCAACAAAAAGTTGCCAAGATTGGACATAGCAAGTACCACAAAGTACATACTCCGGGAACTGTTAGAAAGGGTCCGTCTTCAGCCTCTTTCCCTCTTTCTCTTTCGTCTCAGGCTAGCATTCCCACCACCGCGGTCCCCTCATTCCCACGTACAAGCCTTCCTACCTCCAACATCCTCATGAGGATATCTCTGCCGTTTCCGTTCTCCTGCTCGCTCTTGGACCGAATGCAATCCACCAGGTTCAGCAGAAGTTTGCACGACATGGTCTGGATGCTGCTGGGCAAAGACTCGTCATCGATATTCTTGGCGAAGAGCTGGACGGCCAGGGAGAGGTCGTTGAGGGGTAAGTGCTGCCGGACGTGGTGGACCAGATCGGCCAGGGTGCTGTACGCAAGGGGCCTAAAAGGGGGGGAGGGGAATTGTAAAGCACATGGGTGTATATGACATAAATATTATGAACACCGCGTAACATTCATGGGCGTTAGGTAAGAATAGAATAGAATAGAATAGAATTTTATTATTTGTATGCCGCCCTTCTCCAGGAGGACTCAGGGCAGCGAACAATTCAAGGGGGNGATTGTTGGGGGCAAGAGGCTGACTCTGTAAACCGCTTAGAGAGGGCTGTAAAAGCACTGTGAAGCGGTATATAAGTCTAAGTGCTATTGCTATTTTTGTGACTCCGAACGGCCACTAAAGAACCGACTGTGAAGTCGAGGCCCACCTGTAGGGCGGTAGGAAGATGGGGGAGGCTGCTTGATGAGCTTAGAGCAACGGCCCCCAACCTTTTGGGACACCAGGGACCGCTTCCACGGACCAGAGGGGAACGTGGCTTTGAGTGCTGCCTGTATCCCACGGGAATTCGTTTGTTCCTGCGGCCCAGTTTCTGGTCTGCAGTGGCCCAGTGGCCAATCCACAGATATCAGGCTGGGGGACCCCAGTCCTAGAGCATTACTGACCTTGTAGTAGGTTAGGCAACAAGGGCAAGAATTCCTGATACAAGAGATCGTGGCTGCCTCCCCCGATGGATCGGAAAAGGGCCCTCAGCAGCAGGAAGTAGTTGTAAGGTTCTTTGGCCGTTTGTGCGAGTTCCATGGAGCTGTTGACTATTTTATGGAGATGCGGCTGAAAGACAGAAAGGAGCAAGTCAAAAATGAAACCCGTTTTCCAGTTATCTGTCTGGAGGAAGCACAGAGTGGCTAGAATGGTTGGGACGCTGGATCGCAGGTGAAGCGTCTTCTGCAAGAACGGTTAAGTAAGTAAGTCGCTGGGTCCATTTATTTCGAACGTGTTTTACCGTTTTGAAATATTTTTATGGTTTTCATCATAGAATTTTTTTTTTAATGGCAAACTGCCCAAAGTCGTTGATTTGAGATGAGTGTCAGGGGTGGGATTCAGCCGGTTCAGGAGAACTGGATGCTAATTTTAATCTGGTTTGCCGAACCGGTCGTTTGTAAGGAGTGGCTGGCCGCGCCCCATCCCTCCCAGGAGTCTGCCACAAAGAAGAGGGAGTCAAGCTATTCTCCAAAGCACCTGAGGGCAGAACAAGAAGCAATGGATGGAAACTAATCAAGGAGAGAAGCAACTTAGAACTGAGGAGAAATTTCCCAGCAGTTAGAACAATAGATATAACAGT